CATTATTTTCATCTTCACTTTCATTATCATCATTGCCGTCAGTGCATGTCACGTAGCTCTGTACCGGAACACAATCTGCAAAAAGGACTTGTGATGCATAGCAGTCTCTTTTTATTTTATGAGTTTACCAAGATCACTATCACCAAGCATTCCTTGGGTGTCCACGTGAGCACTGTAGCCACTACCGAGTAAACACACGCTCAGGAATAATAGGCTCCTGAACCCACACCAGAAGGCCTGGCCTCACTCGAGTCTTGCTCTAATATCGGGCAGATATTGCACAGCACTTCTCACACTCGTGGAACACGAATAACATCAATGATATGCCGAAAAGTTATCAAAAATAGCAGTAGAAAGTACACTGAACCTCCTTATGCCATACAAAGCGCCAAAACTAACAAGGAGGCAGCAATCTGGGCGCGCAGATTGGCCGAGGAGCTGTGACGTAGTAAGAGGAAGTCCATTGTCATTGGCTGCTTCAGGGGGGGTATGGTCTGAGGGAGGCGCGCTGTTATTGGCTCGTGCTCCTCTCTCTCTGAACTGGATGTTGCCACCGTCTTTGACTGAGTGCACAGCCAGATACGTAGCTCCAGGCCTGAGGCGAAATCACACCTTATTTTTTAAGGACTTTATACCATATTTGTATTCTAGCTAGAGGGTTACATCCAATGCCAACTTGTAGAGGAAGGGTAAAATAGTAATATCCATCAAAAAACGAATGGTCTGAAAAATGGCAGATGAAATTCAATGTGGAAAAATGTAAAGTACTTGAATTGTAACAGTTTATTTAGCCAGAAAAATACAGATACAGAGTGGATAATAATAACAATATTAACATGGCTGAGCCAGTTGAGAACCTGAGCTCTCTTTGAGGCACCTTATATATACTATACAGTGGTCTCTCGGTTAACGAGCACAATCCGTTCCAGCAGGTTGCTCGTTAACCAAAAATCTCGTTAACCGAAACCATTGTTTCATTGGGTTTTTGGCAGGGCTGTGGAGTCGAAGACAAAACCTTCGACTCCGACTCCTTGGCCTATTTGTAACAACTATTTCTACCATCCTAATTGTAATTTGTATGTTGTAACCTGCGTAGGTAAAAAGTAAAACACCGTGGTTATACTGCTACAGCTTTATTAATGATCTGGACGATATTTAAGAACTACAAAAAGATGATAGGCTTGACTTTCAAAGTTTCAATCAAAAGAAAAATAAATTTATGAAGAATTCAAGATATTAACTAGAAAACACCATTTACATGTATATCTAAAAGTTCGATCTCAGCATATGAATTTTGTTTAAGCTCATAATCTGATGTGGATCTAAATGATGATCCTACAATTCCTTTTAAAGTAAAGTTATATACACCTAGACCCCGACTTACGACGGGGTTAGGGACCCAAATCCAGGTCGTAAGTCCGACATGGTCGTAAGTCCGACATAGATAAAAAAAAAAAAAATAAATAAATAAATAATAATTAATAAAAAATCTACAATGAAATACAGTACAGTAAAAGTAATGAATAATGATGAATGGATACAGTACAGTGAAAGTAATAAATAATAAGGAATGGATACAGTGTGACTGAGCACTTAACCTTTAATGTACAGTAGTCAGCTGAATGCACATGGGGCCCCCATAATTTTCTAATTATACATGGAGACTGCATTAACTGGAAACGTTTCGGTATAGAAAATGCGTGTGTCATTTAAAAAATTTTTTTTTTTTTTTTTTAAATCTATATCTGAGGCGGTCGTAAGTCCCGACGGTCGTAAGTCCACGTAGTCGTAAGTCGGGGTCTAGGTGTATTTATGTACATTAAAGAAATGAATACCTTATTAAGGAAAATGGCAATTCAGTGCAATCAAGATTCAGCTGGAGTCGGAGTCTGGACAATTTTACCGACTCCGACTCCACAAGCCGAAATTTCCTCCGACTCCTCGACTCCGACTCCGACTCCACAGCCCTGGTTTTTGGGTAATTGGTTCCAGCTCACCGAAAATTGCCTAAATTCAACAAAAATGGTAGATAAGTTCACTTACTTTGAGGTGTGTATGTAGAAGGCTCCTGGATGATGATGATGATGATGATGATGATGTGCATTTGAAGTGGGAGGTGGAGGAGGAGAAGGGAGAAGAGAAGGAAGTGGAGGTGGAGGAGAAGCATTTTACTGCTTCTTGGAAGGTGAGTCACCTTCCATGAAAATGTCAGGAACCTCTGGACTGACAGATTCTCCACCATGAACATCCTCTCTCCTTCTTGAAGTGGAAGGCTGAGGGATAGCATCTTGTTCCCTCTGCCTTTTACTGAAGAAAGTGTCTGTGGGGCATCTGTCCTCCTCACCATTAACTTATGTTTAAAGAAGGAGACCACTGAGTCCTCAACGTGACACAAAGTTAGTTCAGTTTTTTCCACTTCTGGGTGCTTTGAAGCCAGTTCCCTGAACTTCTCCCAGTAGTGAATCACATCTTTCAACTGTTTAGCTGACATATGTTCATCACTTTCAATTTCCTCCTCACCACTGTCAGCCTCTACCTGTAACATCTCATCCAGTTGCTTCAAGTCATCAGGAGTAAGTTCCTCCTCATGAGACATCACAAGCTCTTCCACATCCTCCTCCTCCACTTCAAGGCCCAGAGACTGACCAATGGACACAATCTCCTGGTCCAACTCTGTTTCTTCCTCAAATCCCTCAAAATCATGGACTACTGATGGCCACAGTGCTTTCCATGAAGAATTGAGGGATCTAGTGGAGACTTCTTGCCATGATGACACAATCAATTTTACAGCCTCCAGGATGTTGAATTGTGTCTTCCAGAAATGTTCAGTGTTAGTTCTGGATCATTGGAAGTTGCCTGATGACACCTCCTAAATATTTTCTTCATGTACAACTTCTTGAAGTTGCTGATCACATTCTGGTCCATTGGCTGTATGATTGATGTAGTGTTTGGAGACAAAAACAACACTTTCACAAAGTCAAATTGATACTCCAAATTTCTGGCAAGGTCAGGGTCATGACCAGGAGCATTATCCATGAGGAGAAGAGCCTTTAAAGGGAGTTTATTGGTGGTTAGGTAGCTCTTGACAGAAGGGCAAAACACATCAACAGCCCATTCATTAAAGAGCTGTCTTGTCACCCATGCCTTACGGTTGGACTTCCAATAAACTCCAAGCTTTGTTCTTACCACTTTCTGTTGCCTGAACACCCTGGGGTTTTCAGAGTGGTAGACAAGCATAGGCTTCAGTCGGAAATCCCCTGAAGCATTGGCACCAAGCAATAGAGTGAGACGGTCTTTCATGGGTTTATGCCCAGGTAAAGAGGCTTCATCTCTGGTGATGAATGTTCTTTTGGGCATCTTTTTCCAGAACAGCCCAGTTTCGTCCACATTGAACACTTGCTGTGGAAGATAATTTTCTTCTTCCATCAGTTCTTCAAATTCAACTAAAAACTTTAATGCCCCTTCCTTATCAGCACTAGAAGCTTCACGATGCCTAACAACACTGGAAATGTCACTTCTTTTCTTAAATTTTTTGAACCAGCCTTTGCTGGCCCGAAAATCTTCAAATTCTGTGCCTGAAGAACCAGGTTGATCTCTCTTTAAATGTTCGCAAAACTCCATGGCTCTTTCACAAATGAATTCAGTAGAAACTGAATCACCTTTCATCTGTTTATCCCTAATCCAGATGAGAAGTAACCTCTCAGTTTCTGCAATTAGGGATCTACTTTTAAACACTCTTATAGATTTGTCTCTCACTTTCACTTCTTTAAATTTGTCTTTCTGTGCAAGAATTGTCAACACAGTTGATGTCGACATGCCATATTCTTTGCATAGAGCATTTGTTCTAATGCCTTGTTCATGTTTTTTTATGATTTCCTGCTTGGTTTGGATTGAAATCGCTTTTCTTGATCTCTTAGGCCCCATGCTGGATTCAAACAATGTCAACACGTGTTTTTTAAAGTTAAACTTCTTGTAAATAAAGAATATTTTCTTTAAAATAACACTGCGCTGTGCTATATATTGTCAATATGTAAAATAAATTTCAAAATGACCAATAATTTGCTTGGAAACACAGAAAAAAAGTGTTTAGTTGAAGAGAGTCTCAAGCAAGATGTTACCTCCAGTGAAAACAGAGAGAGACTAATGCCTGTTTGCTGTGTTAAGAGGCTGGATGCCACGCATTAAACTAGTCACTTTACCTTTCAATTATGTTCAATAATTGTTAAAATGACTAAAAAATTTAATATAAAACTTTTAAAATGAATGAATAGTACAACCTTCTTGATATTTACTAAAATGGTAAGGAATTGAAGTCCTAGAACCGATTACTGTATTGGCAGATTAATACTACAGCTAGTTAGCAGGCGAAAACATGTTGAGGGGCGCTCGTAAGGAATTCATTAATCGAGGGATTGCTCGTTAACCGAAGTGAAGAATCTTATGGAAGGTAATTCGTTAACCGAGGCGCTCGTTAACCGAGGGATCACTGTATCTTCGCATTTTCGACTTACGACCAATTCAACTTTACGACCTGGATTTGGGTCCCTAACCCCATCATAAGTCGAGGAGTGGCAAGGGTTTCTCTCAGCTGAATAAAATTGTCGGGCATTAATTTGAATAACATTCCAAGTTGCACTGCTGCCCTCTAAAGGGTTGACCACAACAATAATAAGGGTCATTGGATAAGACTCATTTTTAAGTAGACTTAAAATTTAACTTACTTATAAGCATTTTCTTTTAAGTAAATGAGCCTTAAGAGCAAGAGCAATGTTCTCCATACTATTACTGTATATCTAAATCTTGACTTCCTCTTTTGCTTAATTTAATGGTTTTACAGAATGAATGGATCCCACTCAGTTTACAACAAAGGCTTTACACACGATAAATTTTTTTTGAAAAAAGTCAACTTAAATTTCACATTTTAAGTATACTATTGCTTCTGAAGAATGCCAATTCCATCAGGAACAATAAACAACCTCTAAACTTGCATGATACAGTACCTGTGTGTTGAAATAAGTAATTTCTGGAGCAAGATTGGTGGGTTGGCGAAGCCATGTTAGAGTACAAGTGTACATCAGTTGTTCTGCTAACTTCATGTGGTGTTTTGGCATTCCATAATGAACACCAAGTGCAAGAGTTCCTGGCAGGTAACAGGTCAGCTCATCCATCTTGTTGACAAAGTTTTTGCTACTGCCATGAAGTTCTCCAAAGAAAAGCAGATTACTGGGTTCTGTCCTTCCTGCTAAGTGGTGCTCCATCCCAGATACACTTTCATTGTAGTCATCTCTCAAACTGAGAAAATAAAATAAATAAATTATATATATATATATATATATATATATATATATATATATATATATATATATATATATATATATATATATATATATATATATATATATATATATATATATATATATATATATTATCTTTTGGATGTAAGAATTTGTAGATACAGAATGGTGAATAATTTTAAAAACCCTGAATCAATAAGGTGCATCATTAATGTGCATATATCTGAATCAATGTCCTGGGTTCAAGTCCTGGCCCAGGACAGACCTGAGAAGGGTGTTAGCCAGTGTGACCCTACCAAACGTCACTGGTTTCTTCCAGGTACTCCTGGTTCCTCCTGCACTAACACTGGACAACAAAGTAACAAATAACAGACCAGCTGCCCAAATGGTTAGAAGTTGATACCGTATATCACGGCCTATAAGACGAAATTTGAACATTAAAAAAATCTGCCCAAAGTTAGGGGGTCGTCTAAACCACCAAGTTTAAAATTCTTACCTCTTAAATATTGTGGTTTAGTGTGTCAAGAGTGGTGATGAAAACATCGTAAGCCACTCACAAGGTCTTACCACTAATTATTTTATACTGAAACTTACGTTTGGCAAGCTGGATTCAAATTAAGATTACCGGGATATTAAAATAATAAAAATGTATTATAAACCTGTCTAACATACCGTAAAAGAGAATTATACCCCTGTAATAAACACAGCTATCATCACACACCCCTCCCCACGCCCCCCCCATTTGCCAGTGAGGAGACAAGAAAGGAAAAGTGACCGCGAGATTGGGCTATTTTTAGCCGTGGAGGTGGACAGTAATGCATATCGGTATATTTACTGATAATAATACATGTACTTAAAATTTATTTTTTTACAAGGAATATTCAGTAAATGACTGCATTAATTCTTGAAACTACTGACAGTTAAATACAGACGCTTAAGTGACGTCACTAATGTTTACACTACACCAGCTGGTAACATTTGATGCCATTACTTGAAGTGAATTGGCCTTATTTTAAGTAACTAACCATAAATAAATACAAAAAGTAAAAAAAAGATCAAAAGTGAGAAATAATATACTGTATGTATGTTGTGTTGTCAAAGTTAGAGGAACAATTCAAACTGCAATTGTGTGCAAATGAGGCAGAAAGTCAGGTCAGCGCTGAACCTGGGACTTGGTCACAATTTTCGTGATGCCATATGGCAGCAGGGTCTACCATTAGACAACACATTATGCTTCCAATATCTTCCCAGGCGGTAGTATCTACCTGTTTGGTAGCTGCCTACTACCTACACAATTTTTAATAATATTACTTTGATACATGATAAATTAGACAATGAAAATAAACATCAAATTTAATTACCAAGACACTTCCCATTGGCAGCTGTAAGAAGAGGGGGAGATGGGCTATTTTTATCCCGTCTTTGTGTCTGAAGTGACCAGTAATACCATATATTTACTGATCATAATACTTATCTCGTATAAATAATTAATTTAAAATTTATTTTTTACATAGAATATTCAGTAAATGACTTTTAAATAAATAAACAAATAATTCGGTAAATCTATTTCAAGTAAATGGAAAATAAGCAAACAAATGTTATTTACCATGACCCTTCCCTCTGGCTCAGGGTGAGATGGAGGGGAGATAAAGAAGGCTATTTATAGCCCGTCTTTGTGTCTGAAGTGACCAGTACCCTAATGCACCATAAATAATTCATTTAACATTTATTTTTTGTATATATATATATATATATATATATATATATATATATATATATATATATATATATATATATATATATATATATATATATATATATATATATATATACACAGTTAACCCTCACTTTACGCGGTCCCGCTTTCCACGTTTACGCGGTGCCTTGCCAGAACCTCACGTGCTCACATTACGCGGTACGTGAACCCCATTACGCGGAGAGTGTCCGGCGCGACGCTATTTTTAGATTCGCCCCACCCGCCACCCGCCCGCCTGCCTGCCTGTGCTCCTCGCCTCTCCCTCCTCCTCCCTCCGCTTGGGCAAGCGGCGCGGTAAGGTTGCGCAGTGTGTGTCTTTGTTGCGTTATCACTGACGTCATATGACGTATCGGACTGTGATTGGCCATGCATCCCTACCCCCTCTGCTGCTAGCTGTAA